AAGTAAGTGGATCTGATGAAAGAATGTTATTTTCCTAAATATATTGCAAGAAATATTTTTTATCTAATAACAGTTATGTTTTTTAAATAAAGTATAGGCAAGTATGATGTTTCCTTCCGAGTTCTGCTCTGTGTGTAAAATGTGGTATCAGGGCATGCTTGTTTATCTCTGCAAGGTCATGTAAAAAGAATTACACAGTTTGTACAAAAAAGAAAAAGAATTACTTAAAGCTAACAGAGCCTGCATATCTGCACTGCTCGTAGTAAAAATCTGTCTTTCCTTTAGAATGTCACAAAATATAACGACTATACGGTGCTGACCATGCCCCCCTTTAGCTGCCTGCAGTTTAGATGGGACCAATCTGGATTAGCGTCCCTGAACCCAGCACCTGGCACCCAAATGCTGACTAGCTCCGGTCCCTACCTTGGGGAGATGGAGGAAAAGGGCGATTACGGCTCCTCTCTTGCCATTTTTTGCGGGGCAGCATGCGGATAAGCTGTTTCTCCTCTTTGAGAGCTGGGACCAGACTTCCTTCTGCCTTTCCTAGGACTTTGTGCAAATGGAAAACTCTTCCCACTGAGCTACCAGCTCAGGCACAAAGCCTGGTTTTGTGGTAGCCCAGGAGTTTAGTTTCAGAGCCGTCAGACCAGTAGCTTTCACTATCACCGTGAAGACAAAAGAGAAAATGAAGCAAATAGTCTGGTGCTCTGGATTTGCAATGTACCCAGATCATGCTTTAATCAAACTGCCTGTGTGTGTGAATATGTGTATATATGTGTACATTTTAAAGTTGTAACCCAATTTACTGTGTTAAAAGGCCAAAAAACTAAGTCATATGAATCAGATTCCTTCTTAGAGAGTTACTTTTAGAGGAATGCTCTAGTAATCTACATAGAAACAAGGTGAAGTTTTATGTCAGAGTATATTTTTTTATACAGCCTTCAAAAATTTAATAGTTTTCATGATTTAAGTGTGTATATATTCTATATATATACACACACATAAAAATAACATTTCTAGCCACTTCACTTCATGAGCACTTGTAAACAGCGAGGTTATCCTTCCCGCGTGCCGGCGTCTGCTCCATTATCTGGCAACAAGACAAAACAGATAACCGGCAGAGCATTTTCATCATGCTGTCACTTCGTGGTGTTTTCCATTTTCTTTCTCTGTTTGTTGTGCTCTTGTACTTCGAGACAGAAATGAAATTATGCTAAGACCAGGGAAAGGTGTCCATCCAGCCCGAGTGCCCGGGGTGTACGCAGCACGGGCTGGCTTGCAGAGGGCTCACACCCTTGGCAAGTGTGGCGAGTGGTGGGTATGAGCCAAAGATGGTGAAATTCGGGTTGTGAACGTACTGCACCAGTGCTTGAGATCTGTGCTAGGGGTCAAATCAAAGCTCTTGCAAGAGCTCCCCTGCTTTGAAATGGAATATTTTCTATTTTCTGTCCGACTGCGCAGGGGAAAAAAGGATCCTTTTAGACCTTACCGTCTGTCCTGGAGAACAACCTGCAGTGGCAGGAATTAATCTCTGAAATGACACCTAAAACTTGAAAAGGTTTAGATTCAAGTAATCAATTTTGGACAATCTCTGCAATATTCAATTATTTTGCTTCTCCCTCTCTCCCACCTCCGTGCTATGTCAAATAACTGTTGCGGCCCAGAACTGATTAGGGGGATGAATAGAGCCAATGGATCAAAAGACAAATTTTGTATTCCAATGTGATTTCTGTTTTGACTTAGATCTTCCACCACCTTCAACAAGAGAGAGACCTCCTGGGTGTAAAACAGTGTTTGTTGGAGGATTACCAGAAAATGCAACGGAGGAAATTATTCAGGAAGTCTTTGAGCAGTGTGGAGATATAACAGCAATTCGGAAAAGCAAGAAGAATTTTTGTCACATTCGTTTTGCAGAGGAGTTCATGGTTGATAAAGCCATTTACCTTTCTGGTACTTCACATTCTTTAATGGATTTTCCTTGCTTCTCATTTGTATTTTGTGATGCTAATTTTTGCTTATTTTCTTAGCTTTTATCTCAGCAAGCCTTTCTTGAGCTCAGTGGCTGTAGGTTGGAGTGGCAAGGGGCAATTCTGTATTTCTCTGTGTCTGCCAAGACTTGTGCATGGTTTTGTATGTTGCTTGCCCGGGAGCAATTTCCTGCTATCCCACAACAATGCAACAGATCCTGAAATTCACCACAGAACAATCTTATTTTCCATTTACACAGGTTTATATAGATTTGCTCACAGTTTGTGGAAAGAGGAGGGCAGTAGGCCAGGAACACTGCTGTTTTCCAGTGCCAATTTCTCTGATAGGCTGGCAGTTTCATTGGCGTATTTTTATAGATTTGAAGTTCAGTCTGAATAAAGTCTGCCTTTACGCATGCATTCAGCTACCACATGGGTTAGATTCTGAGCCCCATTTGAGGGCTACGTCTGTTGCCTCCCAGGACGAGTGCCACACAAACTCAGGTGTAGAATTTCAGAATCTCTTTTATTTCCCAACAGAGGAACGGGGGGAGTGGGGGGAAAAAAAAAGCAAACCCTTAACTCACAGGGAAAAAAGAAAAAAAAAAAAAAAGGAAAGAAGAAAAAAGATTGAAATCACTTCTGCTTTTTTATATAAGGCTTCAGTGAGTGTCAATGCCCTCTTAAGGTTACAGGCTCCTTCATATGAGGATTGGCTTCCTACCTGAGCCCTCCTTCAGCTTCCTGAGCTGGATCCCATCCCCTGTATGTATTTGTCACCACAGGCTGGTACATCTCTCTTTCTAGGTCCTGGGGAGACCCATACGCTTTGTTTTGCCCCACTAGTGTCATGTAACACTTTCACCCCACATGCAAGGTATGCTTAAACAAACAAGGGCCAGGGACTGCTCCTTGGCCAAAACCACCTGACACAGATTGGCTTACAGCCACCCACCCTACATAGCGTGACCTCGAGGGGACCCACTGGGACCACCCAAAATGGAGCCAGGGAGGCAACTAACAATTAGGTCGAGCTTCTTTGAACTCTCATCCTGACCACCTTTTATTTAGTAGTAAGGACAAAACGTCAATGTCCCATAGGTGTCTGTAGGAAGCTCAAACAGCTAGAAACAAGTGGTCTTTCAAATCACCATCAACTGCATCTTAAAACTGAAGAAAGAAAGACAGAAAAGAAAAGAACATCTGAACTTTTGAAATCTGTGTTCAGGAAAAACCTAGATCCTTTGTTTCACAAAGATTTTTGTGGTTGGGTTTTGTTTGGGGTTTTTTTTTCTGATTTGGCATTGCTGTAAATCTCTCTTTGAAGAGCTACAGAAAATTGTGACGTTTATAAGGTCTATATAAAGATTTCTTTGAAATATTGCTGTATTTTCAGGTTTCTTCCAAATCTTCATTCCAGCCTTGTTTTTTCTTCCCTTTTTATTTAACTTGCACTTCATTTCTTCCTCCTTTGTTCCCATTTTCCATCTTTCCTGTTTATTTGATTATTCACTTACTAGTTTCATAATACTGTAGTTCATTGACATAGAATACAGACATTGCAGTAGTAAGAAGAAGTTGCACATTTCCTAGCTTCCAACTTCTGTCTAGGGGACCTCATCTTCACAAGTAACAGAGCAGAGGAGGGGCACACCAGATTCAGTAGGAGCTGTGATTACTGTATATGATGAACAAAACAGCGGCAAGAAATAGAGCAAAGAAAAGCTCAGAAACGTGCAGGTTGCCAACCTGGGCTAGAGCCAGTGTCCCTCTAGCTCAGTTTCCTGCTTCTCAGCAGTTGACTGCACCCTTTGCTTCACTCCAAGTCAAGTATTATTTTAATTTTCTATGCCTTCCACCCTGGAGGACCAGATTTGATGATTAGTAGGAAATTCCCTGTGCTGCCATGTGTCCTCATTCATAACGCACCAGAGTTCAGAATAAGGGAAACAAGCAGAGAGGGAGGTGGCAGGTTCCCTTCCTCATCCTTCATCATCCTGATTTTTTTGCCAGTTTATTTCCTAGTCCTTGATCCATCCTTCCTTCTGTCCTTCGGTCACAGTCGTACTGCTGTCTACCCTTCCTCTTACTGCCTCTTACTACCCTCTCTCCACAGCCTCCCTCCCCGTCTGTCTTTTCCTCCATACCTTTTCTTTCTTCTAAAGTGTTGTACTTAGTGTCTCTGACCAGATCAGGGAAAGAACCAGCGGAGCTGATAGGGAGAAGGAGGAAACGCAGGGGCACGCGGCAGACAAGTTTCACTCCTTTTTAACCACCAGATCTGAAATCTGTACATGAAACAGGGAGCGCTGACTGCCTCCCAGCACCGCAGACCAGGGAGGTCTGGCAATGGACAGGCGCACGTTCTATTTGTACTGAAGTATTGGGGGTTTTTAACCAATCTTTATTCCATTCCCAAACATAATGTATTGTGAAACGGTGGGGATAAAACATATTATTAAGGCGTTTTCTTTTCCCTGTAAAAGACAAAAGAGATGTACCAATGGAATTTGTGGTTAACATAGTATGCATGTTATATTGGGGGAGAGTCATGCCTTGGATATCTGTAATATAATGATAATTTTGTCTACCTAATCAGTTTTATCTGTCTACCCCATCTAATCTCATCAAACTTTGTATTTAACCTGTGCGTAACATCAGAATAGTGCAAGTGATTACAAAATCCATCAAGTGGCTTAATCACTGATTTTTTTCCTTTCTATTCCCAAGTAAACATGTATGAAAAGGAGACTGGGAGATGGGTAGAAGACTATGATAAATATTGACTTGAGGAAGGTCAGTTTTCATTTAGCCCTGAAAGTTACATTTTGGTCTCCTGAGGAAAAGACTTTATAAAATCGACATAGCCCATGAGAAAGCTCTTTCTTCAAATTGTATGTACTTTACACTTGTGGCTGACAATTCAGTAACTCCTGCAAATATTGATGGCCCTGGACTTGAAAATATGGGACCAACAGGTGGCTTGAGACAGACCTGTTTATACCCCAAAAGCCTGTGTGTGCAATTTTTCTGTGCTGATATTTTCCCCTGTGGGTACGCATTTAGTACCATGTACTGGTTTTATTTTACGTTCTCACTGATCATCATCAACGCTCTGATCTAGATCCCCAGTTAGAGAGCAGCTATTGGCCAATCTCCAATATAGCAACACTCAAAGGTAAGTCAAGCCACAGGGTTTTGACTAGACCTGTGATATGGAAATACTGTGTTTGATTTTTATTTAGCACCCTCATTAATTTTTCCTGTTGCTGCTCCTTTAAAGTGAGGATCTTGGCAAGTTCCCAAAGTCTTTTCCTCTGCCATTGTGTGGGAAACTGAAATTAAAAATGACAAGCCAGGCACGCAGTTAGCACTAGCTGCAGTCCTGAGCAAAGAGATGGGGGAAAGGTTCCGTGAGGGCAATACATTGCCCGTGCTTGAAGGGGAGGCAATGGCAGGTGGTCCTCTCATACACGTAAATACCCCCAAACATCAGTAAGGAGACACGGTATTGGAAAAGAGAGAGCCTCCCAGCTGCCGTGTAACTCAGAGCTGCCATCCCAAATGGGTGCCTGAGGATCCCATATACAAAATAGGACCTGCCAGTTGTGCATCCCTTGCTGCACAACATCTTGCTGGCTATCAAGTATCAAGCCATCGAGGAATCTGTTCTTCACTGGCCAGGCCATTGGTCCGGTAGTGTGTCCCCAAAGCCTGATTTAGGACGGTGCAAAAAGCCATGCCAAAGGCTTTTTTTTTTTTGTTAAGGTAAAGATGCCAACCCCTGAGCAACCTGATCTGACTTTGAATTTGACCTTGCTCTGAGAAGGGGATTGGACTAGGTGACATCCAAGGTCCTCTCCAACCCAGGTTATTCTAAGTTTCTGTGCTGGTGGAAACCACCTGGCTGGCTGGCCAGCCACCCTCAGTAGTGAAGGGTTAGACAAGCAGTGAGATTTTTTCAGTGTGATTCATGGGAAGTTTCAAAAATCTGTTAATTTGGAGGCACTTAAACTGGTTACCTAAAGAGAACCATTTGTCCAGCGCTACACAGGGTACTGGGTTTTGGGACTGCAATTTACACCATTCAGTTTTTCCATTATCTCCATTTACTTCAAAAACGAGGGCCGCTTTAGCGAAACTCAGCTTTTCCGGTGCGCACACAGCCTGTAGATGCACAGTCCTTTTCATTAGCTCTTCATTCAGGATCAGTGGGGCTTTGAGGTACGCAAGAGTCTTGGGTCCTGCAGTGCCGTGTTTCTCTGTCGGTCCATGCCCAGCCTGCTCCTGCCAGCAGCGGTGAAAGGTGGGGGAGAGGAAGAGACTGTGTCTTCCTGGAAAGTGCAGCCCAGCTGGGAGATCTAATTTTAGGTTCACAAGACCTGGCGCCTTGGCAGTGTCCTTTCACGTTGCTGATAATGCCGTTTCGGCACAGAGCAATCGCTATTTGAGGAACGCAGCTGGCGAGTCAAACTTGGGGGGGGTAAGGTTTGTGACGGTTATCAGGATGGCTGCACCACTGACCCGTTTTGGCTGGCCCCTTCGTGCCTACACCTCTGTGGATAAAAACACGCAATTGCCCCCTTGTTAGTTCAGGGCCCAGCTCTGAAAGGTCACCCACACTCTTCTTCTATAATGTGTCACTGAATACGGTGTATCTGTAATTCTTCCCTTCAACACCTTGTGACTAGAGCTACGTATATGACCACAAACAGCCTTCTGGGGGGAAAAGTAGTGTTTACTCCTCTGAGCAAGAGAAGGCAGAGCAAAATAAAGGGGGCTTTAACAAACAATCCCCTCATTTGCCGCTCTTGCAGTATCCTGTTCTACTCCACCCCAAGCTCGTGAATCTTGGAGACCAGATTTGGTAGGTTCCCTGGAACTTTTTTATGCCTTTTGGCTTTGAGGGACCTCTGAAACACTTAGCTCAAGTTTTTCATCTGGGTTTGGGCTCTGTGCTGGAAAATGAATACCCCTTCCTCACTGATAGCCTACTTAGCTGAACTCCACAAGATGTTTGAAAGGAAAATGTCAAATCAAAAGGCACCTGTATTTTTTGGGGTTTTTTTTGAAGGATCACTACATACATGGATATTTAATGTCCTTGAAGCTATTGTCTTATATGTGCTGTACTACAGACAGTCCCTTGTATTCATACAGTGGGATGTTTCTCCAGCAGTAAGACAGAGTATGCCTAGATACTCATTTTTGCAAAAGTGCTTCTAATCTACTACACAAGTCTCAGCTTTGCTGTCCCTGGAGACAGTTCAAAACTGAGTTTTAACTGTGGTGGTGAGGTGCTGAGGCTCTTCAAACCACAGGCAAACCACTACTGCTTAATACCTTCATCAATGACATAGACAGTGGGTTTGAGTGCACCCTCAGCAAGTTTGCGGACAACACCAAGCTGAGTGGTGTCGTTGACATGCCTGAGAGACAGGATGCCCTCCAGAGGGACCCAGAAAAGCTCGAGGAATGGGCCTGTGTGAACCTCATGAGGTTCAACTAGGCCAAGTACAAGGTGCTACACCTGAGTCCAGTCCAAGCCACGGTATCAGTACAGGCTGGGGTGTGTACTACACACCCACTCGAGGATGGAGAGCAGCCCTGGCAAGAATGAATTGGGGGTACAAGTGGATGAAAAGCTGGACGTGAGCCAGTAATGTGCGCTCACAGCCCAGAAGGCCAACTGTCTCCTGGGCTGCATCCAAAGCAGCGTGGCCAGCATGTCAAGGGAGGTGATTCTGACCCTCTACTCTGCTCTGGGGAGACCCCACCTGGAGTCCTGCATCCAGCTCTGGAACCCTCAGCACAGAACAGACATGGACCTGTTGGAGGGGGTCCAGAGGAGGCCACAAAAATGATCAGAGGGATGGAATACCTCTCCTGTGAGGACAGGCTGAGAGAGTTGGGGTTGTTCAGCCTGGACAAGAGAAGGCTCTGGGGAGAACTTACTGCAGCCTTCCAGTACTTCAAGGGGGCCTATAAGGAAGATGGGGACAGACTTTTTTGGAGGGCCTGTTGCGATAGGACAAGGGGTAATGGTTTTAAACTAAAAGAGGGCAGATTTAGTCTAGATATAAGGAAGAAATTTTTCCCAGTGAGGGTGGTGAAACCCTGGCACAGGTTGCCCAGAGAGGTGGTAGATGCCCCATCCCCGGCAACACTCAAGGTCAGGTTGGACGGGGCTCTGAGCAACACGGTCTAGTTGAAGATGTCCCTGCTTGTTACAGGGGGGTTGGACTAGATGACCTTTAAAGGTCCCTTCCAACCCAAACTATTCTCGGTTTCTATGAGACTTAAAGGTCAGTTCTCTTGGATTGCTTTTCCAAAGCAGCAAACACCGTTTTTCCTGCCATTTTGAATGGAAGCTTCCTGCCCCTGGAGTTATTATGCAGTGGTTGTAGCAGCGTGTGTTTCTGAAGAGCCTCATATATGCCAGCTCAGCACAGCGTTCATCTCCACAGCATCCCATGATTTGAGACGTTCTCTGCTGGGCTGCTCTGCTTCTGAGGTTACTGCAGAGGGTTGGCATGGAGAAATCAGACCTGGCCCTGTGCAGACTGATTAATTTTACCTGCATCTGAAGGCTCTGTTTGCAGCTTTCTGCATAGTGTTTTCTCACACTTTCTCTGAATCAGCATTTCAAAAGTTAAACTGCTCTGTGAGTTTCTTTCAGCCTTGGAAATAAAACTTGAAAAAAGAAAGGTGCTCAGCATATGTTCTTCCACAGTATGGTCATGAAAAGCTTCTTTTATAGCTTTGGCATGATTTGTTTGTCCTCTGATGGCAGTCAAGGGTTTTACTTCAGAGCAGGGCCCTGTTGTACCACTGCATAGCCCCTGACTTAAAGCCTTTGCAGTCCGTTAGCTTTAGCATATGATACATCGTCCAAATTATGAGTATGTAGAACATCACTAAAGATGAGACACAACTGGTTGCATTATTTGTTCTGAAAGGGGTCTTGCAAATGTCTAATAAATCCATCCACACTTTTAAAATTACTTTAAAGAATGCTGAACTCAATTCATCTGTAGGTGGTATTTATATTTTGCCAGATTATTTCCAATGGAGAATTGGAAAGTAGTGTTTGCAATTGTAAAGCCTCAAAATTTGATATCTAGCATCAACGCAGGTATGACACCACTCTCTTTGTGGCCCAGGACTTTATGTACCACAATTTTCTCATTCATCTATAGTAATGATTTTTATAAAATTCAGTCTTTCCCCACACTTCCAATTCCTTTGACAGGCTGGAGAAAAGCACTAAACTGCACATGATCTCAACAGGATCAGGGGAAGAAGGATTCCACATTCAAACGAAAACAGATCGTTTTTCCGTAGTTGTTTTTTGTTTAGCTGACTTTTGCACTTACAAAGGTTGGGAGTATCAAGTAGAAAAATGACGTCTTTTGAGAATATCATAAACAGGAATGTAGTTTCTGTGCCTTGGGGTCGACTTTTTCAGCTCATCTGCTGTGCTGGTAGGTGATGCAGAAAATTGCGACAAAAAATGAGTGGACGAATGTTTATCTTCCTGTGAAAGCACAATGATCAATAGATCCTGTGTAGATATGTGGGGATCTGTTAATGTATATTTTTACTTAACTGCACTTGAGGGGAAAAATAAAAAAGGAAAAAAAATAAGCAAAGAAGTCCTGCAACAGTTAGTTCTGCTTGTTGGTTTCAGGTTACCGCATGAGATTAGGATCTAGCACAGACAAAAAGGATTCAGGTCGCCTTCATGTTGATTTTGCTCAGGCGAGAGATGACTTTTATGAATGGGAATGCAAACAAAGAATGCTGGCCCGAGAAGAACGCCACAGACGCAAAATGGAAGAAGACAGACTGCGTCCTCCTTCTCCTCCGGCAATAATGCATTATTCCGAACACGAAGCTGCTTTGCTGGCTGAAAAATTGAAAGGTAAGCGGCATTTGATACTTTTCAGCGTATTATTTCGTAAAAGCAGGAGCCATCCAGAAGTCAGAGCAGGGGATTGGACTTCTCTCCGATTTATTTCATTACTTGCCCTGTGAGCTTCCTCCCATTCCTCGGCCATTTCTATGCCAATGGTAATGATACTCACCCACCTGCTAGAAATGAATAATGCCTGTCCATCTACCTGTGTTTTAACAGCTAAAACACAAACCTTCAGAATGCTACAGTGGGGCTTTTTCTGTTGGAACCTTGGAAATGCTCTCATAATAAGACAACCTGTTACAAACATCCTTCATATTAAAGACCTGATTCTTAAAATCTCTTTATTCCGTGACTGATACGTTACTACACTACGTGCACGCAACTCTCCCAATTCCTAGCATTTAAATTGCCCTCATGAGCTGCATTTTAACTTGCCCCTCAGAGGTAGTGGTACAACTTATCTCTGACACACACCATCCATTCTTTCATTCCCTCTTTAGGGTTAGAATTACTTGTGCAAGATAGCGTATTGTTTTGGTATGCGTTTGCTTGCTTGTTTGTTTGTTCCTTGGTATACTTACAGAGTTAATATTTTTCAAGGGTGCAGCTTGAGGATTCCCATCTTCAGTAGTTAACATAGAAAGTAAGAAGCAAAGAAATAAAATTATTCATGGTAGAGAAATTAAAAAAAAGATCAAGCGAACAACTCCTCGTACCCCTTAGAGCTGTATTTGTTTTCAATAAGTGTTTAGCAATTGTGTTTGGCATTCTTTCCCCACGTGGTAGCCAAGCACGTTACTTTACTGTGTGCCAGGTCACAAGAAACTGCGATTCTTGCCACTGTTTCAGAATTATCCAGATTGGATTTAGGCTATCTAGCTGTCAACACACTGGCCTCTGTTCTAACTATGAAACATGTTTGGGAAGCCAGAGAAGGACAGTGCAAAGTGTTGCATCCTTGGAACATGGAGCAGAGATGCACCCTACTGTCTCTTTGAGTACTGCACTGGTGGCTGTTGTCACTGTTACCTCCGTCTGTTATTAGTGTGGCTGACTGCTATTCTCACCACATACACTCCCCTATTAAATAATTCATTAAGTAACTGGAGGTTGGTAAAATAACCCAGGTGGATTGATAGACCAGGAAAAAAGGAGGAAAGAGGCCCAAATATAAGAATTTTTAATTCTTACCTAGCTTCAAGTCCAGCTCCTCTAGAGGTTACACAATACAATACAGAGTTTTAGATCCATCTGTTCCTAGATTCTGTTTGCAATTGAATATTTTAAGAGTGAATCTTTTATAGGGAAGTTTTTCTTTGTGTAGTAATGCCTGGAGGTTTCATGAACTAAGACAGAAAATGAAAGAAGTCTGGACAATTTCTTCCGTATGGCTAGCCATTGCCTGGGACAACTGAATGTGGTTCTTAGCAAGATGTTTAAGATGTCTATATTTAGAAGGGTTTTTCTTTTCATTCCGGGAAGTTTCCATACTTAATTAAAACTTATTCCAAGTACTTAGATCTTTGGTTCTCCCGAGGGACATTTGTCCCAAGCTTGGCATATATGCATGAGTTTAATATAGAAATATTTTGAGCACGATATGGACTAACACCCTGTACATGACTATTTCTCTGGAAATAAAGGTAAACATTCAGAATACAGAATTAAATATCATAAATTAAGAAACCAAAATAGTAAGTTTATTGTTTAATGGTTAAAAAATCATTAAAATCCAGCAAAAGAACATGTTGCAATTTTTAAAACCTCACTAATTAGCAGTTGCCTTGTAGAGAGATTAACAGCACCTGCTCTGGATCTGTATAGATTGTTGGGGATGGAGAATGTAAATGACCCCCCTCTCTTCTCGCTGGTCATGAGTTGTCTCCTGTATTTGGTACTCTAGAAAGCAGAGGTGGAGTTCAATCATTAAACTGGTCTGCTTTACCTTTCCTATGGCATCATAGCCAGTATCTATAAGGCAGTGGGGTAGAACATTATGGCCTCCCTTGGGCAACATGGATTCACCACATGAGCCTTCTGTGACATCCTAAAAACAGAAGTAAAGCAACACTAATAAAACTTCTTTAACTCTGGCAAAGGGCAGTTCATGTCATCATACATTCACATTTTAATTGTGAGCTTCAGTGAAGCTAGCAGAAGATATGTATGTACGTACACACATACACATCCACACACATGCATGTATATAAAACTTGGGATTCAAAATCTCAGGTCTTCGGATATCACCAGATTTGCATCGCTGGAGAATTCATCCCAAACAAATGAAGGATCGAAATATATCTGCTCTTGGCAGGATTTACCTTGAAAGATTGGGTTTTGAGCAGATGTTTTGCAGTTGCTTTCTTAAGTCATGACCTCCTCATGGTACCCACTTCAAAAGACTCCTGACCTCTGTTGCCAGCTCCTGACGTAGAGCTGCAGGTGCCCAATGCGCAGGTTTCAGCTCCTGCAGTACCTCCAGAACTTCACTGAGCAACACTAGCTGAAAAGCAAGTCAAAATAATTAAATATCTGTCATCCCAAGGTACTGCTTTGCTATCACAGATGTAGACAACTTGGTCTGAATCCAAGCAACTTTTGTTGTCAAAATAACCTTGGAAATTCCTGACAGCAAGGAAATCTGATGGTGAGCAGAGATGAACTAGGCTCATCAGCCAGTCCCCTGTTGTGGTCTAGATATTTATTGAGTCTGTAACAGAGGTGGCAATATCTTTTTTCACCTTCTGCAAACTGCAGCATAAAACTTAAAGAAATCATTGGTTTTGTGCACCAGACTTGTCTGGAAACTCTTGCCCCAGTATTGTCAGCATATTCCTATTCCTCTCACGTCCTGAAGTCACCTGGTACTGAGTACCTGCGTGACTGAGCGGGTGACAGAGCATAGAGGATCTTTTATGCTGGTTGGAAACAGAAGTTCATTATAAAATTTCAGCCAAGTAATCTTTACTGGTATGGAGCTTCACTGAAAAAAAGAACTGATTTCTTAAATGGACTGCCTGGTGAAGTGGGGATGGGAACTAAGACACCTCCACTGCATGTGAGACCTTGCATACCTGCAAAAGTATGAGGGGTTATGACTTCTCTATTCCCTGATCTCTGTGAACTATTCCATATCTCTTCATATCTGTAAATAACTTGGTTTGAACACTTGATTAATGCAGAAATAAGGAAAACCCACCAAACTGTGGACCAGTGCAATTCTCCACCACTTCCCATTTTAGACTGTGGCAGACAATGCTATTTAACGAGTATCTTTTTCTTTTACTTTTTTTTTCTTTCTCTTTTTTTCTTTGTCTTTTTCTTTTTTTTTTTCTTTCTTTTTTTTTTTTCTTTTTCTTTCCTCTACTAAGGTCTTCGGGGTCATGTAAATGAAATCCTTCAGAATTTTTTCCTTGTTGGCAGTGTGGGCATTTTTCTTCACCTTTCATGTTGTTGGCCAAGAGTGTACTCACTTTTCTCTAAGTGCCTGTGATGTTGTTCCTCTCCCTGTCCACCTACCGTGTTTTGCTGTTGCTGCTTTTCACGATGCGACAGTGACATACTGCCAGTATCATAAGTGTAGGCTCATGGATTTGAGCCTGTAGCTCTAAAAATATAGGTCTATGCTACTAGCTCTCATTGATTAAACATTTTTAGAGCTGGTCTGCATTGATAATTTGCTAGTGATGTTCCTTGTTTGTCACAGCCAGAGCCAAAAGAGGGAGAAGCCAAGTAGATGATAGTTCATAAAAGAGATTTACCACATTGGAAAGATGACTTGTCACAAAATATTTGATTCAAATTTGTTTCATTCACTCCCATATCATATTCGCAAGCCTTCTTCATGACTCCGGGACACAGAAGGCAGAAGAGAACCGAGCCTGGACTATCAGAATGAAATGAGGTCCATCATTCAAACTAGATGGATAGCATGGGGAAGAACATGAGCTCCTTCTCATACCAGGGCTATGCTGATCAGTTTTAGATTTGTACCACACATTTTAGGTTTGCGAGCTGGTTGGGAAAATAAAAATGTTATTTAATTTTTCATGACAAGGTATTTTTGTTTGTGGGTTTTTGAACTTCCAATCCACTGAAGTAGATTTGAAGGGAAAAAGCAAAATAAAAAGTGGGCAACATTTGTATAAATGGTAAAGTAACATTTCACTTTTTCAAAAGGTACCCTTCAAATCTACTTTTTGATCCAAATATTCCAAAATTTGTCACTACAATGCAAATAGTTTCATCAAATCATTCTCTGATATCCACAGAATAAGATAACAGCTAAACCTACCTCAGGTTAATGAAATTTCTAGCCTCCTTTCTGCCATCCTCCTGCCTTATGTAAAAATCTGTGTTTCCTTGAGGAAATATCTCAAGAAATTCATAGACATGAATTCTGGGAAACCAAGGCCTTCTATAGTGAAGTGTAAATATGAACTGCTTCCTTAAAAAGCCTTTGACAATAAACCCCGAGTGCTTGTTCTGAAAATACAGCAGAATATTGTCTCTTCTGCTATTACATTATAAAAGTGTGACCTTGCTGTCTCCTGGTTCACTGCAGCATTTTGTTTGGTGTGTGCCTTTGAGATTTTAATTCCTCAGTATTAGATCAGATGCATTATTACTGCACAGTGAGATGTGTTGGTAGATATTTAGGATCAAATTTGCATACTCTGACATCTGTTTCCCTGGGTGCTTTATAAACAGTTGAGTAATGCGGTGCCCAGAACATCACACAACTGGAGACAGGCTGAACCTTTTATCCTTAGGTGGAATACTGCTCCGTCGGGTGCATTGGAACAAAACATTTTAATCTGTGTGCTTATGACATTTGCGTTTTTAAGCAGAATTTCGAACATTATGGTATTCTTAATTCAAGCATATCTGCACCTAATGGTATCATCTTCAGAAATCACTTCTTGCAAATAAGCTCCTTTAAAATACTACATCTGTCTTATTTGCTGCAGGTAGTTAAATGGTTCCACCATCTAACAAAGACA